TGCCAAAAACCGATTTCCAATGTTTCCGTGTATTTTTTTTTATGTGTAATATTATGTATGTTGGTAAATAGACTTCGGTGAACAGCGTTTACAAAGGGGTTATATATGGAATTAAAAAAATTATCTGTTATTTCAAGTATCTGTACAGCTCTGTGTTATTGTACTCACATTATAACCAATCCGCTCCTTTATCCCCACTTAAAAGATTTTTACAGAACTATTGTAATATTTGCTGCCATTTCTTCTCCTCTTGGCCAACTTACTCTGACAAAAGACATTTTTAATGTTAATGAGATTTTTTTAACTGCATAAATAAAGGTTATATAAACGTCACTGCCAAAAACTGATCGCGGCTTCTACCTTGTTACACTAATGTTGTTTGTAGCTCAATGTGACTTTATGTCATCCATGAGGGATGCATTTAACATATGTTTCACATATTATAGCCCAACAAGTTACTTATAGCAGTTTAAATACGAGCAATCAGTTTTTGGCAAATACCGGAGATCAGTTTTTGGCAGACAATCACTTTTTGGCACAACACCCGGTCAGGATTTCACATTTTCTGATGGACAAAGTTCAATGATGTGAAGATGAGTTTTTATCAGCCTCACTCAGTTTTTCACCCACAGATAAATAAACACGCTGGAGTATGTTGGTCTTGATTTTTCCTCATTAAATGTGACAGATGTTCAACATCCTCTCAGACTTTTGGACCTTCAGTGTGTTTTTATTGTGTTTGTGTTACTGTGAATCACGTCAGAGGAGGACGGCGCAAAGAAACGTCACAGAGACGTTTTACTGCTTACGAATAATCTCACGTTTATCTTTATTTTGTTTTAGTCATAATTGAATCAACTAACTGTGTTTACATTATTCTAGACTTCTCTGTGGGTATAAAATAAATATGAGGAGAAGAAGAAAGTATGAAGTTATTTAAAACTGATTTGTTGTAGCCTGAGCTGTGTTTGCACTCCGACTCATCTCTTAGTTCCCATCTTCGTCTTTTGTTCCGCTCCTTTGCTCCACGTGAGCAGCGCCGCCGACCTTTCGCCGTGACCTTGCTTGGCTCTCTTTCCGCCCCTCTGTGTTTTAGTCACTTGGCGTCCTCGGGGCGTGTTTTGCAAGTCAACAATTCACATAAAGCAGAACACAAATGGCCGATTTTCTTCAGTTCCTTAAAAACCGGAGGATTAAGGAATCAGGGACGCTGAAAGGCCTCGGACTCGGGAGTTAAGCGGCTGTGAATGAGATGTGGCGACTCCGAAACAAAGCTACTGTGTCACTCAGACGGGAACGCTGACGTCACGGCCCACAAAAGACGGAGGCTGTAAAACACAGGACGCTTCCACCTTCTTCTTCTGGGCTTTTTTTCTCTGTTTGAGCCAATCAAATATCCACGAGCGCTGCTGCCAAGTCCTCTCTCCGAGCAAACAGAGCCCACAGCACGGCTACATTTTGATCCATATCGGTGGTAAAATATAGGCTCTCTGTCTCCTCGTGGGTGGCCCGGTTTGGCCAGAGGACACAGGCCTGCAGATTCTCGTAGTGGTCTCCATGGGGATGAGCAGGACGTGGGGAGGTATCTGGCTTACTGGAAACGTGGTTTATTGTTGACTTTCAGGAATGAGGAGGGGGCGCTGCTCTGATGGGGGGGTGGCACATCCCGGTGGAGTGAGCGCTCACACAGTCAGGCCTCACTTACGACTCTGGACCGGGTTCTGTGGACAGATGTGGCCCAAACACCAGCACACACCAAACATCTGCAAAGTGGACGTGGCGCTGAGCCACATGCAGACTGTATATAAAAGATGGACGCACTGCAGGTTCTGCTCTCAGGTGTTTGCTTTGTCAGCTGCTCGCTGCATGTTTGTATTTTCAGTGTCACGCTGAGCTCATCCGTCAGTCATTGTTGCAAAA